GATAAACATTAATTCTTTGTGGGACAGGGTTTGGGACTAGGGTGAGGGTGGGATGGGTGAGGTTGTCAACCAGCAGCCTCGCCCTTCAACCACCTGCTCTGACCCTTGACCTGTCCTCTTAGTTTTTGCACCACAGACACATCACTTTTTTTTTCTTTTTCTGGAGGGTGGGGACAATGGTAAGTTGGGAATCTGCTATCTGCAACTAGTAGGATTCCCCTGTCAGGACACCACCTCCCCTTTCTTATTGCATGCACACACACACACACACATCACACACGCACGCATGCACACACACACACACGCACGCCCACATTGCGCACGCACGCACACACACACACACACACACACATCACACACATTTTAGTAAATTAACTCAGTTGGACCCTTGGACACCTGGGACCCTCAGATGCCTGGAACACTGGACACTGACACTTTGACACCTGGACCCTACGACACCTGGGTCGTCAGACACTGGACACATGCACAAACACCTTTTAATAAACCTTTTAAATGTTTTATCTTTGCTCAGTTTTTTGTTTTCTACACTTCAGTTCATAGTCAAACCTGAAGACTTGGTAATGAACTTGGTTTGAGTTAAAATTGTCACGATGGGGAGCCAAGAGGAGGTTGGGACCCAAAGATGCAGAGAACCAGATGACGCTTAGTGGAGCAATAAAGTAAAAATCCTTTTATTAATGATCAGTCCAAAAAGGCAGGGAGCCAAGGCACAAAATCAAAGTCCCAAAATACAAAACCTAGAATCCAAAATGAAGATCCAAGACTAAAGAGGGTAAACGAGACAAAGGTGACAAATACAATGACCCAACCACAGACAGAGATGCAGACAGGGTTATATACACTGGGGCATGATGGGAGACAGATAGGCTGCAGGTGTGTTGGGAGAGAAACCAAGTGAAAGCAATTAACTAATCAGGGAAGAAACTAACATGACCTAAGAGTTAAAACCTAAAGACAAGAAAAGCAGCAAAAATAACTAATATTCTAAGGGGGAAGGACATCTACAAAAACCTGTGGGAAAACACACTAAAGAGACTAATAAAATGAAAAGCTGAACCTAAAAAAACTGCAGAGGGGTGACTGGGGGAGACCAAAAGAACACAGGACCTGGGAGGGATCATCTGGAGGGCTGAAGACCAGGGGACACATGAAGACCACAAAGAGACACATAAGGGGATCCTTAGAGGGGAATGGAGCGAATGACGTCAAAGTAGTTGATTGGCTGAACGTGAACCTGACCAGCTTTGGTCCACTTTGGTCCGTCTACACATTTGTGCCTCAGGTGTGCACATGTAACTTCCATTGGACCAAAGGTCACCCCAACACCATTCTGTTGTTCCTCCAGTTTTTACTGCATGTGTTGGAGATTTCCCTTCAGTATTACAGTTTTTCTCAATTGTTTACACACATTTTCTGGTACTTGAGACACAATGACCACAACACGTAACCAATTCACCAACCCCCTTAACCAATTCTGCTAAACTACAAGCACAATTCCTGCTTTGCACCAAATTGCAAATCTAAAACACACTTTTTTCAAAACACTACACACAATTCTCTGCTGTTGGCACAATTTTCATGCAGAAAATATCTTGTTTTCACAAGGAACACACTGCTATTCAAATATACACACCGACTCATCACAATGGCAAACACCTGTCACACTGTTTTACAATTAGCAATCAGAGCTTTGGAATAAAAGGGCAACAGGTGAGCTCCTCTGTTTTGGAGCAATGGATGCCATCATTGGAAACAGAGGCAGAGCCAGAGCCAGAGGAGTGAGAGTGAGAGGAGTACAGGGAGGATGAGGAAGACCAAGGGCCGTAATCTCTGATGAGATCCGAGCCACTTTGGTTGATCTTGTGGTCAACCATGGTCTTACAATGAGGGAGGCTGGGCAAAGAGCACAGCCAAATTTGAGCAGGTACACTGTAGCGTCCATCATCCAGGCTTTCCGAAATAAAAATAGGTAAGAAATGTTCTCTCACTAGAAAATGGCAGAACCTGGGGACACACACACATGCATGTCAATACAATCAGTATTCAATGAGTATAGTAGTAGTATTGCCTGTGGTTGGTTTTGTCGGACAGTAAAAAATACTGTAAAGTATGTTTCCAGTATTTAGGAAATGTATACCTACTTTGTGTTCACATTATTTTACTATTTGTTTGGCAGAACTGAAAGATTACCAACATGAGAAGGTCGTCTTCTGTCACCTGAACAGAAAACTGAAATCCTCAACATGGTCCTAGAAAACAATGCCATAACATTACGGCAAATACAAAGAAAATGTATCGAAAACAACGACATGTTTCAAAATATTCATGGGGTCAGCCTATCAACTCTGGACCGTGTCTTGCGCAGAAATCATCTCAGGATGAAGCAGGTCTACAGGGTGCCATTTGAACGAAACTCAGAAAGAGTCAAAGAATTGCGATATAACTATGTGCAAGTGAGACCCACAACTGATGCATACACTCAACACTGTGTACAGTAAATTATACATATTTCAATATTGAAGTCACAATGATTGTGCTTCACAATAGTGACCACTCCACGTTTATTTCTGATATAGCCATGTGTGTTTCAGAGAGGCCTTGAGGTAGAGGCAGCTGCAGGGGAGCACCAGTTCATCTTAATTGAGGTTGGATTCAACCTCACAAAAAGACAAAAGAGGGGAAGGAATATCATTGGCCAGCGTGCCATTGTTGAAGTCCCTGGCCAGCGTGGAGGGAACATCACAATGTGTGCAGCGCTTGGCTACCATGGCATCATCCATCACCATGCTACCCTTGGCCCCTACAACTCCGCCCATCTGATCACATTCCTGGACACCCTACACAACACACTCATTCCACCAGATCAGGTAGATGGTCCAGAACAGCCCAGGTACGTTATCATTTGGGACAACGTATGTTTCCACAGGGCTGCTGTGGTCCGTAACTGGTTCACTGGCCACCCACGCTTTTTAGTTGTTTATCTCCCTCCATAGTCTCCATTCCTCAATCCCATTGAGGAATTTTTTTCTGCATGGGGATGGAAGGTGTATGACCGACAGCCACAAACCCGTATACCTCTTCAAGCTATGGAGGACGCATGTGGAGATATAGCAGCTGATTCTTTTCATGGCTGGAATCGCCATGCTAGGAGACATTTCCGCCGCTGCTTGGCCAGGGACAACATTGCTTGTGATGTGGAAGAGGCGCTGTGGCCAGACCGCAACAGAAGAGAGGATGCAGCATAGTTTTCTTTTTTACTGTAACTGTATACAGTAAATTCTTCTGTTGGATGTAGTTTATGTGTGCAACTTTGTGTTGGTTGGGAATGAGATAAACATTGTGTACAATGTTTTGTGGGAAAAACAAAATAATTTCTACCATGTATTTGTGTGTTCAGAGTGTAAAAACAATATTCGGAAATAACAACACATGCGTGTATATGTACATGTATCTGTAGTACACGGAACCAAAAAGGCTTTAGTCATTATAATGAATGGAGAAGATGTGTTTTCCATTCATCATAGTGTTTAACATTGAGCACATAAGTGTTCTGCTGGTTCTTATAAATGTCTATTCATATGATGGTTTGTGTGTCATTTGACAACAAAATCACATTTTGAGGAGAAAGTACGTTGTTTTGAATGTGAAGTAGAATTTTGCAGGTTAAGTGAGGGCTTTTGCCCATTGTGTGTATATTTTTGGATTTGTGTGTAGAGATCTGAGAATGAGGCATGCTTTCAGGAAATGTGTGTAAACAATTGAGGAAAAACTGTAAGGTTTGGAACATAATGTGGTCAAGGAGCAAACTGCTTAGATCATTTTGTCTAATGATTTGGGTCTTTATGGAGCTGAACTCCCATGATATTAAAATGTATTTAATAACACTTTACAATAAGGGTCCCTTTATTAATGTTACTCGGTGCATTATCAAATATTAATAAACAAAAGGTCTCTTTATTAATGCTACAGTTAACTATTAAGTGTCCTTAGGATTAGGACCAAGGGCAGGGGGTGTGTGGCTGCATAGCAGCGCATTAATAATATGGTTAAGCAGTTTTAATACTTTATTTAATAATTTAATGCTTAATAATGCACTAACTGTCATGTTCTGTGCCCCCTTGGTCCCCAGCCCCCTCCTGTTTGTCCTCTGTGTTCTCATGTTCCTCCTAGTGTTTTCCAGCTTCTCAGGACTCTCCAGTCTCCCCTCTGTAGTTTTATTTTCTATAGGTTCAGATTTTCATTTGATTTGGTCCCCTTAGTGTTTGTGTCCTTCCCCACATGTTAATTAGTCTTCCTTACTCCTCTTGTCATTAGTTGTTTATCTTGGCCCTTAGTTTCTAGGTTTAGTTATGTAGTGTTTTTATAGGTTATGTTATCTTCCCCTCTGCTTGGTTTTCCCTTCCATGTAGTTAATTGATTTCACCTGTCACCTGTTCCCCTGATTGCTTTCCACTGTGTTAAAAGCCTGTCTTGTCCTTCAGTGTTTGTTGGGTCATTGTCGTATGCGTCTGCGTTGCTCGTTCCCCTCTCGAGTTTTCCTGAGTCTGTGCTCATGTGTGAGCTTTTGTTTGTTTTGGAATTTTCAGTGAGTTTTTGAGAGTTAGTCTTATTATTTGTGCTTTGGATTTCGGCACATCCTCTTTTAATAAAGGAATTATTTTCTTTAAACTACTCCTGCCTTGAGTAGTTCTGGGAATTTCTGCATCTTGGGTCCAACCTCCTACACTCAACGTGACACTAACGTTAATAAATGGACCCTTATTGTAAAGTGTTGCCATGTTGTCATGGATTTTATCAATAAGTTTATCAATAACCCATGTCTTGTAGTGAAGAGAGAAGGAGACAATGAACAAGTCAGTTACAACTGTGGCAAGATGCTCGAAGCATAATGCACTGAACATCTGGTCACAGAGTTTATGGAGAGGGAGAGATTGTGTGCACGTGCATGTGTTTGTGTGTGTGTGTGAGAGAGAGAACAGGTTCCATCCTCCCACTGTGGTGGGTCCTATGGGAAGTGCAGCAGCCTGTTCTCGTCTCCTGTCTCTGGATCCGTCTCAGTGCAGTCATGCCTTGGCTATAGCAGTTTCTCTAGCTGGAGCTCCGATGGCTAATGCTGCCACTCAGTCCAAGCCCCTTCACATTGGCAACGCCTCTCGTTTGGGGCTTGAAGCTTCTCGTTTGGGGCTTGAAGCTGCTCTGCTGGCCTCTAGAGGCCTAGAAGCCAGTCCTCTGGTCTTGGATGCTGTTGCAGGAGTGGCGGGCTTCAGCGCCTTTTATGAAGATTATGTTCCTCAGCCTTTAGAGTCACCTGATGATGGTGGACATGTGTTCCTGTTAGAGGAGCAGGACATGGCTTTTAAGCGTTTTCCTGCCCATCTGGGGATGCACTGGGTGGCTGATGCTGCAGCTGCGGTCCATGAGCTCCTTGTGGGACATGGTCTAGGACAGGTGTCCCCACATCAGGTCCAGGACATCCTGCTCAGAGTCCCCCAGTCTAAATACATCAACAGGCCTTTTCCTGAGTCAGAGCACGAGGCACGCCACTCCTTCCAGTTTAACGCCTGCAGCGCTCTGCTGGACGGTGAGGTGGCGGTGCAGTCCTTCAGCCCGCCCGCCTTGAGCCGCCCAGAGCTGCACTTCCTGCTGAGCCGTGTTCGCATGGAGCATCCTGAGGACAACTCCGCAAATTTCAACCGCATGTACGGAGAAGTCCAGGTGACTCTAGTTGGAGGAGACATCCTGAAGGGCCGCTGTGACACCTTCTACGGCCACTGGCGCAACCCGCTGACGAACGAGAGCCTGAGCAAGAAGTTCAGAAGCAACGCAGAGGTGGTGCTGCCATCAGAGAAGGTGGAGCGGCTGGTGGAGGTGGTGGAGGAGCTGGACAGGCTGGATGATTGTGGAGCTCTTCTCTCACAGCTGCAGTGATCAATAACACTGAACAATAAAGCAACAATCCTTCAGCATAGAAATAAGAATAATATTATTTTATATTAATGTTCTGAAATGATCTGCTTAGTGTAGACTGGAAATAAACACATTGCCATGTTTTTCCTCTGGAGTTTTCCTCAAGCTGATGTTTCCTCTATTGTTCAAGATTGTCTTTTGGTATTGAATTCTGTTTTTATCGTAACAAAATTCAGATAAGAACATGACTCGTGTGTGTGAGTCATATTTATTGTTTAATGCCTGTTTTTATATTAATATTGTTAATGTATGAAAATGTGTTTCCAAAATGTGTACATAATAAAGTGTTTTAAACGTGTAAAACACATGGTCGTAAATTCACCTGTGTGTGTGTGTGTGTGTGTGTGTGTGTGCTCTGTCTTCTCAATCCCAAGTGGTTCATGGCGGATGGCTCCAGGATTCTTTGCAGGTTTCTTCCTGTTACATTAAATCAATCTCCGAGATTAAAGTAAGGAACCTTGGTGTCTTCGACCAGGACATGTTATTCAAATCTCACGTTAAACTGGTTTGTAGGATTTCCTTTTTTCACCTCTGGAATATTGCTAAGATTAGAAGCATCCTTTCCAGGAGTGATGCTGAAAAACTAGTTCATGCATTTATTACATCAAGACTGGATTACTGTAATTCATTACTCTCAGGAAGTCCACAGAATGTAGTTAAGAGTAATTCAGCTTGTCCAAAATGCTGCAGCTAGAGTTCTGACGAGAATTAAAAAGAGAGATCATAACTCTCCTGTGTTAGCTTCCCTACATTGGCTGCCTGGTAAATTCAGAATAGATTTTAAGATCCTCCTTCTCACATATAAAGCTCCATCATACATCAGTGACCTGATTGTTCCATACGTTCCTAACCGAGCTCTTTGCTCTCAGACTGCAGGTTTACTGGTGGTTCCCAGAATATCTAAAAATAGGATGGGAGGCAGATCTTTTAGCCATCAGGCTCCTCTCCTGTGGAACCAGCTCCTAGCTTTAGTCCGTGAGGCAGACACCTTTTCTACTTTTAAGATTAGACTTAAAACATTTTTATTTGATCGGGCCTAGTTAATATCAATGGAAACTTCAGGGTTAAACATGGGCTAAAAAAGATGTGAAGTCCTTTGCATTTGCAAAATACTGTGTAAAAGGAATAACCAAAGGGAAACAGCCAAAAATGTGATAATTTATATTTTGTCTCCATGTTTCTGCCCTTTCCCTGAACTTCAACTGTGAGTCTGGGCTGATTCTGTCCACCTTCTCTCAGGCTTTTGTGGTAATCCATCAGATCAGAAAAGCTCCACACATGGACGTAATTTTCACTTTAGAAGTGGGGGGGACACGGGTGTGTGTGTGTGTGTGTGTGTGTGGGGGGGGGGGTATCTTTACAATATGCTCTAATGGGAAACAGGCTTCAACACAAACAGTTGTTTTCCACTTGGTCCTAGAGCTCAACCAGTGTCAATTTAATATAGCGTAATATTGTTTTTGGATGGTAAAAAGTGCAGGGGTCAAAACTTGACTTTGGAAAAAGTGGGGGGGACATGTCCCCCCTGACCCCCCCCCCAAAATTACGTCCATGGCTCCACAGAATGACATATTAAATAGGGTGACCATACGTCCTCTTTTCCCCGGACATGTCCACTTTTCACTCTCTGTCCGGGACGTCCGGCAGGGTTTCCTACATGGAATAAAGTGTCCTGTTTTTCATCCAGGAGCAGGGATCGACTTATGGGGTCTATATCTTTCAGGGAAAGATCCAGTTTCTACCTTTATTACAATATTTATGGACTCTCAGCGAAGCGGGATTCTGTTGAGCGGAGAGGACGCAGAGAGCTGATCGTTGGTGCGCGCGCTGCGTCCGGCCCACGATACATTCACAAAGTGGCGCAACAAAACATTATTATTAACACATGATCATTCGTATCTGTTTAAATCCTCTGGTATTCTGTCTTGTAATCATTCCTGACGCACTCCACTCATCGTGTGCTGCGGTGATTTCACCTCACTGACGCAGCATCAAAATGCGGTCAGGAGATCCCTTTGATCTGCTTAGTTCAAAAGTAACTGATCAGGTGAAAAAGTAAGAATCCAGGCAGCAGTTTTTCTGGAGAGTTTAGAGGAGATGCAGGAAGATGAGAGACAGACAGGACAGGAAATAGTTAAATAAAAACAAGAAAACAAAGCAAAGTGCTGAAAAGTAAAATGTAGATAGATTTATCTCCACTACTCGTTTTTACCTGTGTAAAACAATAAGTTACACACAAGTAATATTTATATGTCTGATACAATTCAGATCACCTTCAAAACTCAGACAAACCCAGGGCCGTTTCAAGGCATTTTGGGGGGCCAAGGCAACACAGAACACCCCTCACCCCTATAACTGGGCTCCCCAGAAGTTATACAGTGTTTGTAAAAGCATCTCAGACATCACTGACAGCTTCTAATATTGTCAGACAAAAAACAAAATTGTCGGACACGCTGTCATCGGTTTCTTTTCTAAACTCACAAACATCTGTCAGTAACAAAAGCATCTGAAAGCCTCTATTTGTGGATTCTCTGAAAGTTTCCATGGAGTCCATGACAAACTGTTTTATCATTGATCCTATCGTCTAATCTCACAGCTGAACAAGCATCCTTAATAATCTGTGCACAGGAAGCGTACAGATGTAAAACAAAAGGTATAATAATTTCTTATTAATAAAATGTTGTTGCAGCACTTAAGCAGCAGAAAAATGAGATTTTGCAGTAAATATGCAAAATATTTACACATGAATTGTTTTAGAGCCATTGTGTTGGCAGAATCTGATACTAATTTTAGCTCTTCACCTGGGAAAAAAGGGCCCCAACGTGGTTTGTGTGGCGTTGCCATAGTGTGATGTCATCAGTAGGCACATATCTCCTGTCCTCTTTTTTGGAAGTGGAAATATGATCACCCTATATTAAAGCTGGAGCAGACTCTAAGCAGGTATAAAGTCCTGGTTTTCAGCTGAGCTGAGTTCACTGAACCAGACAGACCCTCTGTGTGCTGACACACTTTGAAGGGTTGACTTTGGTGTGTTTATATCTTTATTGTGTGCTGCACCCTGGTTCAGGATGTTTCAGTGCTGCCAAGTGAAGAGATTAAATCAGTGAAGTGCACCACCAAGTGGTGGATCTGGGTTCTTTTCTCAAAAAGAAAAAGGAAATCCATGCAGCTGGTCTGTTTTAGAGACATAGTTTTATGTGTTATTATTTTAGTGCAGAGAGAACTGTTTCTATGCTACCTGAGTCAGTCCTGATTCAAACATTTCAATAATAAATGTATAAATTAAAAATAAAATATAAGGAATCATAGGTCATTAGACAGCCATGTTCAATGTGTTTAACTACCAGTTCAAGCTCAGAAAAACAGAAAAGGATTTCTTCATGTGCACTTTTTTCCCTCTAACTGTGGACAGAAAGGTTGAAGGAACCCCGACTGGAATTCAAAAGAGAAGAGAGTCTCCGTTAGGAATAAAAGAAATGAACAAAAGACAAACTTAAGGCACTCAGAAGGTGAAATGTGAGATGTCAAGAGACAATCTGATACTGCAGGACTGAGCAGCAGAGGTAGAGAGAGAGAGAAAGTATTATTTTCTTTTGAAGTATCTCAGCAACATTTGAGGAAACTTGAACGTGACAATTTGGCTACAGATATTTTATTAATTATCTTTTACTCATTTTTTATCTAACTCAGTTTTAAATTATTTCAACAACAACAACTAACACCTGACAACAAATGATCATTTTAGTGACATCATACGGTTACACGAGTGATGAGTTTAATAACCTTTTATGTTTTCTTTGCCTTGAAAGGATTTGTGTAAGTGTTTCCTGCTCAGCGGGGTTTTCTGAACCAAAACCACTGACACGTTCCAGTGAAACAATAACGTTGAGTCCTGGTGGTCAGACATGACCCGCTGGAGTTTTAGTCCAGGAATATCAGGATTCTTCCTGGTTACAAGGGTCAAAGATTTGCTTGTTTGTTGTTAAAACTAAACTAAATATTGTAAATAGCAAAACCAGTGATTTCTGCATTTTCAGTCCCAAATAGATTTAGTCATTTTCTTAAATACATTCTTAGTATTTAACGTTATTATAAACAGCTCATCAGCATAAAAGAGGTGGAGCTGGAGTGGTACTAGAGTAGGTGAGGGCCAGAGATGGGTAACTGTAGAGCAGGAGGTGAACCGTAGGGAACTTCTGAATGGAGTCTGGGTAGAAGAATGAGATGCAGCTTATGGTATAATGCTGGAGGGTGGACAGGAGACACACAGCAGCTGAGGATGATGATGGTAATGATGGAGGTTAACAGGAGCTCAGGAGGATCTCAGGAGATGAGGAGGCCAGTAATGAAGATTAGGAAGGTGGGTGTGGCCTCCTCTCCTTTTATCCTCCTGGTTGTAGTTGGTAAAATGGAGTGCAGGTGTGTGGAAAACACACCTGCCACAGCAGCTCCTAGAGGGAGCTGTGATTAGCATCTCCCTAGTGCCCTCCTGTGGCTGCCTGAAGGTGAAAGCAGACACAATGGCTGCAACAGATGGGGGTTGAACCGGCAACCCTCTCGTAATGGGGCGGACACTCAACTCCTCTGCCACTGCCGCTACAAATGTTCTACAGATGTTTTAAATCAAATTCAACTAGTTCGTTAGTTAGTTAGTTAGTTAGTTAGTTAGTTAGTAAGTTAGTCCCAACTTCCTGTTGGGAATCTTTTCCTCATAAATCTCAACAAAACAGCTTCATCTCTTTTGTGTAGATGTCTTTTAACAGCTGCCTTGAGGTTATCTGCAACACGTTCTCACACCCAAAAGCGTCTAAAACTGATGACGGGTGACCAAGCGTTTGTTTCAGACGCGATGTGCCAGAGCATCGCTTTTCGACGCCCGCGGTAAAACGAACATTTTAGCTAACTGTGACCTTTACCTTCTTGCTTAAGTTAAAGTATGTACAGTATATTGGTGTCTTCATGGTTTAGTAGATGCTTCTGTGAGTAATTGTTCCAATGAA